TCCCTTTTCTCTTACAATCCCAGTGCAATAAGAGTTGTGTTGCTGCAGTTTGGGTGTGCTGAGCACTGCTTACTAATGCTCATGTCCACGGAGGGAGTCAGTTCAGGCTCCGCAGGCCACTGGGCACGGGGAAGAAAGCCGTGACTTCTCCTCAGGCCCCCCCAGGACTGTGCTCAACACTTGACTCCCATTGACAATAACTCACAGGGGAGAATTCCAAGTTTGGCTGAGTAAACTCATTTTGTGTGTCTGATGATCCCATTGCCCTGAAGCTCTCAACACACAAGCGCACCATTCTAAGAGACAGAATATACCTTGTTCTATAGGGTGGGGTGTGTGTGTGTGTGTGTGTGTGTGTGTGTGTATGAGTGAGAAAGACAGAGAATTGTAAAAAGAGCAGTGAATTCCCTAGTTAGAAGGATTTCAGACTGTGACATCACTAGAAAGAGAAGATTCAAGGTAGATTATTAGCACAATAAACATGTTTTTATGTTAGATGACATATTAATTTCAAGTGATTTTATGGAAGATTGTTAGAAATTGGGCTTCCCAGACATCTTTTGCACTGTGTGCATGCGTGTGTTTGTGTGAGCATGCACGCGTGTGTGTGCATGCACACGTGTCTATCATGACTGAGATTCTCTCCAAAGGTGTAATGCATCAGTCAGTGGATTACAAGATAGCAGAAACACAGATCTATTGGAAGTTTTAGAAGTCATTTATTTCATAAATACTATTCACCTGCTATTGTTCTGCGTTAAGTGGAGGGTTTGTCAAGATGAAAAGGGAATCCATTAGGTAACAAACACACCCCCAATTAGGATAATTTAAGGAGAGCATTTTTACAAAAGAACTATTTAAAACTTGCAGTTCAGGTTTCAGAGTCCCAAGGAAGTGGCACAAAGGAAAATAACGGCTGAGGCATGGTTCAGTGGTTCAAATATTTGTGTCCCTCCACAATGCATAATCCAAAATCAGTGGTACTAAGAAGAGGGGCCCTTTGGAGACAGATCATGAAGACCCCAGCCTTGTGAATGTCTTTATAAAAGGACATGAAGGACTCTTTCTTTCTGCTCTTCCACTCTCCACCATGTGAGGACCGAGCCATATGACACCATCTATGGAGCAAACCCTCAGGGGACACTCAGTGTTCTGGAAATGGATCACAGACGTCCCAGCCCCCACAACTATGAACACTAGCTTCATGCTGTTGATAGGTAATCAGCCCAAGGTATCTTGTGATAGCAGTCTGAACAGACCGGGGTGAGGACTTATCATGCACAGGCCCTAAGGAATGAGGAAGGGAAAGGGGTTTTGAATGTGGAAGCAGTCATCTGGAGAACATTGCCTTGAAAGGAAAGAACCTCAGCAGTGGACTGAGGAGGCTCCAGGCAACAACCAGCACAAGGAGGAACGCGTCCCACTCGCCCCCTTCGTCACTCGGTAGAGCTTCTACTTGGTCCAACCCAATTGAAAGCCAGAGGACTCAGGAGCTGGAGCAGAGCAGTCCAGAGAGGCCAGGCTCCAGGGTCAAGAGAGCGAGGTGTAAGGGCCGCTGCAGACTCAAGCCTTCTTCTAAGAAGCTTGCAGGCTCAGGAAACATTTCAACACAAAAACATTTGCCCTCATTACATGTGGATTCTGTAAGTATAAATTTAAGGACCGGCCAAATAGTCAGTGGATTACAGTACCTGCAAACAGGTGCAGGGCCTGGGGGTTTGATCCCCAGGCCTGCCATCCCTACCCACAGGGATGCTGAGCTGGCTTGAGACTGGG